ATAATGTTCTTCTATACATAATTAAACTAATGACAAGAAATGAAATAAAAGTAATTGATTGTATTAGAAAAATGGAAGTTGTAATTATTCTCATCCCTGGACGAAAATCGAAAAGTGCCTCAAGATTATTTGACGGATATGTACAACGAAACAAGTCAAATATAACACAATCTCTTGAATTGACGTTGTAAAAACGAAGGAAAGTTGACTTCTTAAACTTCGATCTCAGCCTTGGATTCATTCTACCATTGAACCAATCTAACTTGAATGCCGAAACTTGTATATAATGGAGAGTGGATTGGTCCAAATCCTTTAATGTTTGTAAAACGACATCAAGTTAAGAATTACACAACTTACAGCGCATTCTAGACGATGAAAATTTTTCTTCTCCTTTCATTTCACGATCTAGACTGGACTGTAGGAACAATTAGTTAATAAATAATTTACTAGACTTCCCCTCGGCAGGGACAATTGTTCTATCTTTAGCAAATGGTTCTACGTTAATGAAAGGTAAAATGTCGGTCGGTCAATCGATATCGCTACAGGGCGCTTTAATTTAGATCGTGACTAGATCACTGTTGTATACGTTATAAAAGCAAGATCATGGTCGAACGTTTAATTACATGGGGGAAAATCTAGCGTGGCTAATAAATTGTCTTGGATCGTTTGTCGTTTTAAGTCTTCTTTCTCCCCCTCGGCTATATTATCGCCAAGATAAAGATTGCAAACAGTGAGCGCGAGCGTTTGTTATCATTTCGGATCAAACCGTGATTTACTGAAGCTAGTTTCTCGTTCTTTCAACGGAATTAAGATAAAGTTTCGCTGTCGCACCGTGTGATTTATCGTACTGCTGGCATATCACTGGCAACTTCATCGTTCGCTACCGATTTCTCAACAGAGAATCAGAGAAATCATTTTCTAAATCCTTTAACACGATTGTTCAATCGCGGCGTCTTAATTTTTATGGTTTTATATATATATATATTTTTTTTTCTTTCATTTATTTAATTAATTCTCATCGTTGTAGCAATTTGTAAATGATACACGAGAGTATGAATCTTACATCGTCATTGAATAGAAATTCAATTTGTTCATTGTATTAATTTTTTACCATTGTGCCAATTTGATACCAAGAGAAAATTAAATATCATTTATCTCCTCTATCTCTATTCAATCAAAGCTTCGATTCTTATTTACTGTTATTACTGTTACTCCCGTTTATTTATTATGTGTATGTTCTTGTAAATATAGTTGAAAGATGAGAAATAAGTCTCGAGTAATTATGTCGATCCGCGAGAGGAAAGATTCGACGTAAGTTCGTGATTTACGAACTGCAAACATTTTGAGAAGCCGATAAGGGTAATTTGACGGTGAAGTAAGCGCTTTCTAAGCGATGAAATCAAATCGAACCGCTTGATAAATCGACCCACTTAATTGCTTTCGTTCGTGTTGCTCACAGGGGTAATTATAACGCTCCAATTATAGTTCGATTAGAACGCCGTTTTCAGATATCGATAGCAAGTTTCCACTACCGTTTGCGCGCGGCTTATCGGCCGAATGAAACAACTACGAAACAATTTCATTCGTGTACTAAAAGTATAGTAAGCGGTTAAGTAAAATTGTACATGTCTGTACGCACTGTGCGTTATAATCTTTTTTGTTAAGTGGAGACACAGATTGCCCTGTGTATAAATTTGGTCAAACTTTGATAACATTGTATCACTTTGAGAACACTAATATCCTAGCAATCTTATTTATAGTGTTCTGCAACTTTTGAATTTTAATGGATTCATTTTTTTTTAACGGCCAAAGTTTCCTTTGAAACTAGTATAGTATAGTGTAGCCTTATTCGTTTTTATTACTCTTTCAGAGTTCTTCTTGTTTAATCTTTTTTCGTAACTTTTATTTTATTTTTCCCGAGCTTCCTTGTCACGAGAAAAGGATTTTTCTGTTCGCGTAATCAACAGACTATAGATTTTTATGCATTTTCTGAGAAAATTTAAGGATGCAAAAATTACAACAGGATAAGAAAACTTAGAAACGAGGCACGAGAAAATAATTCCGAATTTGGGATTACATTTAACAACAGTAATGAAAAAATATGATTCGTCAATATTTTATTCTAAAGAAAAGTGTCTAGTTATATATGATACCATAAAGAAATATACTCACACTCAAAATATACTCATTCATGTAGGTTCGTTTCTTTAATTGAACAAAGATCCGCAGCCAATAATTAAATAAATAAATTGCTGCTTCTTTCAGCTGTGTTTCTCTTTGAAATTAATTTTGTCGCCAAACGAACCCGAGAATTATGTCTTCCCATTAATTTCCAACAGCAGCCGGA